TATATACATATATATATATATTTATATATATATATATATATATATATATATATAAAAATATATATATACGCATGAAAAAAGATGAAAGAAGGATGGACAGACTTCTTTCTTTCTTTCCTTCCTTCTTTTTCATGCTAAAATATATATATGTATATATACATATATACACACATAGTCAATTTCGTAGGAAGGAATGAATGAAATAATTAATTAATTAATTAATTCCAACCTTTCCAGACTTAGAATTGATCTAGATTTAATTTGTTTAATGTTTTTTTCTTGGCATATAGAATGTGGAAAATTAGCATCCTATTTACGGATATGATCTATTCTGCAAACCTAACCCTTCACTGACCTTAGGGTTAGTGAAAGCAAACTCTGATCCAATCACTTCCCCCTGCTGTTTGAGAAAGCCTCAAAAGTTTAGACCGCAGGCCAAAACATTTTGCATTATGATTCCCTCAAAGTTGCAGTAGAAATGTGCTGCTTCAGTGGGCCTCTATCATACACAGCTGAACGCTTTATTTGAGCAAACCAACGAGGGATTGTGTCAAAACCTTGCATTTTGATATCTTGCATAAAAGAATCCAACTCTAGTAGGAGCTCAACTTCACTTCATAGCCACAGGGAAATGAAATAGATCAAAATGAAAGCACATTTCTTTTTTTTTTTTTTTTCAATTACTCGCTCTTTTAAAACTCTAAACTGCAACGTTTGGACTGTTGCCTTTTCAATTTCCTCCACAACTTAGCAAATTATACACAGTGAAAAAGTGTCTCTATGATAACACCTCCTCTTCTTTTTTTATTCCCATTTCCTGAGAGTGGAATATTTGGAGAGGCACATTTACTTGGTATGGCTTTAGGAGCCATAATCTAATCCATCTCTATGACAAGCTTCATTACGAGGGAGACCAGTAATGCACAGCACTTCTCATTAGGCCTGGAACAGAGCCCCTGCCAGCGCCCATGACCTGTACTTTCACACACACACATATACTCAGGTTCCCTTTAACATCACACATCAAAACAAACCTCCGAAGCCAAAGCTGAAGGATAGGGAGCTCACATGACAAAAACACTAAAACAGAGGGACTTGAAATCAAATATTGACAAAAATGACCCTTATTAGCAGAGCCTAATTGGACCTGGTCTGTTCCACTCCCATGACCCTCTGAAGTCTCGGCTGCTTTAACACAAACAAGCCCAATACTCAACAGATAAGTGTTTAGAGGAAGGCTGATTGAAAGGAGTTGACCCCAAATGATGGTGTGGGTGTGTGTGTGTGTTGTGTGTGTGTGTTAGCAGGGACTAATTGGACACTCACCGTTCTGCTCCCTCTGCACTCCTGCTGCTAACAGGTCCGGCTCTCCTAAGCTGATGTCGTTGAGGCGGGTACCCAAGCACTCTATGCACAGCAACTTGCACCATTCCTCAGCATCCAGCTCTACACACACAGTTGAGGGTCAGTATATAGCAGTCAATGTCAGGCTAAATTACAACAAATGGGGTAAGATTTTAACAACCTCTACCCTCAGGATGCATTGACACAAACATAAATCCGGTTAAAGAAGATGCATAGTAAAATATGCCTACAGCTCTCAGTCACCTGTGGTTATATATCAAGAACATGGCTATGATACAGCAAAATATAAAAAACAATCATGAAAAACATTTAAAAATCCCAATCTGTTTGGTGTTTGAATTGTTTTTTCCTGTTAAGTGAGGAAAAATAATTATAATTTCACCCCTGTTGAATTCTAGGATAGCTATGCACACCATCTTACCAAACTGTTCAAACAACATGTATATTTTCCCTTTTTGAGAGAAAGGTCTGTACAAGTATTTTATTGTAATAAAGAAACCCAGAGCTCCTGCAGTTGTAAAGCAGGAGGAACATTTTTTTGATTTTTCAACTAAAACGTTAAAAAGTGCAACCTATGCTCATTTTAAGATGTTGTCCCCAAACAAAACGTCTTCTGGCATGACACTAGTTTTCATACAACACAATATCCTCAGCTTTGGACATCTCACAGAGCTCAGCTCAGCCCATTACCTGAAACTATACCAATATACTGCTATTGACCTAAACTGATATGTCAAGCATTCCCATTGGTAATCAAAACAGAAGCCAGGAGGCTCACGGTTACTTTGGAGGAGCTGCAGTAATACACAGCTCAGCTGGAAGAATGAGAAAAGACGAATTGGGAAAACTGTTCAAATTTTACGTTTTAGAGAAAAAATCTAAGTAAAACATTCAGTGCCTTGATTTGTAAAGAAAAAAAACAAAAACAAAAAAAAAACAGACTGTAACTAAAACAAAAAGTCCTATAAGGTATTGAAACAGAATAGTGTATACAAAATATTTTTACATTATAATTATTGGGTAAAATAGGTTAAAAATATGCAATACTAATAGGTGGGCCATGCCTTCGGCAATGGCCCCCTAATAATATGATTTGGAGCAAAATAAGAGTCCTATATGAATAATATACTGGAAAAAAATCAAAATCTAGATAAGTCATTTTTTAATAAGTGCATTATCAGGATCAGGATTAAGGAGGTAAAATAAACATTTTGCCAATGCAACAGGACAATTTACACTTAAAATAAGAAAACATAATTGCATTGTCTTATTTCAAGGGCATATTATCTAATTATCTTTTTTTAAGAGTAAAAATACTCATTTACCTACTCAAATTAAGGGTATATACACTTAATTTAATATATTTTTTACTTATTTCTAGATCATTTTGATGTCACAATGGAAAAATTCACTCCTGCATCATCCCCTTTGGGACAGTGGGCTGCCACTGTGGAATGCCAGGGGAGGAATCGGGGGTTAAGGGTCTTGCTCAAGGACCCAGAGGTCAGGCTGTGGGGATCGAACCGAATACTTGCACTCTCCTCAGAGCACAAGCGCACTGATCTAACCACTAGGCCAACACTCCCACAAATTAAAAGTACTACCCTGATTCCATTTTCTAAACCACTACTCATCAAAGGCTTATGCAATAGGTGTAAGAGGTGTTAAATCAGTCAAAGGGAATTTGATAAAAATAGTGCCATTATGTAAGAACCCCACAGTCAGGTCAGTTGGAAAAATGCTGATTGAACAGAAGGGTTAAAGAAAGATCTGCTACTATCCGAAGCAAACAAGAAAGCAGGAACAGAGCAGCTCCAGCAATTCAGCTCTTTCCTTGTGCTTTCATTAATTCCCCTTGCTATGGCCTTTAAGTGTTTCTTAACTCCCACACTTTTTAAGGCTACTGAGTGGAAATTCAGCAAAACAAACACTTCATCAGCAGAGCTGCATTCAAGCTCCTCTATGTGCAGCACATCAGGAGATACGGCAGGAGGGGAGCTCTGTGTAAAGGAAAGGTGAGCGAAGGAAGGAAAATTTGCAACGTTTTGTATTAATGAGAGTGTACAAACAGAGAAGAGGTGGTGTGAGCTATGCAGGAATCAAATCACTCCTTACTACTTCAACAGCAGGAGTCATTATACAGAGAAACACAATATGTATATCTCCGAGCATTCATATCTGTCAGAGGCAACTCCTCGCAGGAATTCAAGGAGCTGACATTTTCAATGGTAGTCATAACTCAAGGTCACACTCTCATCTTTCTTTATGTGCATATTTGACAGTTGCACCCAGAGCTGTCAAAAATGCACGATTATTTTATTTTTCCTGCTCGCTTCATTCTGTGGCTCATTGACAGCACGCTGCTTGGGAGGATGCAACAAAAGTTTTGTTTTATAAAGTGACATTATAAGAGAACTGCTAAACACCCATTTTCTAAAAAAAAAAAAAAAAGAACTTTAGATTTTATTCATACATATTTAAAAGATGTCTTTCAAAAAAAAAAGCACATCGCTTGACAGTTTCCATCTTCATACTTGCACACCATCTGTTATTGCAAGGCAATGTGCCAAATTAGAGTTCTATAAAGGGAAGTCCTAACGCTGTGCGGTTGTACTTCTTTTCTTCAATAATATCTAACAGCGGAGGGAAAGGAACAAACACAAAAACTAAACTAAACAAACCACACTTTTAGCAGCTTAACCATCCTTGCATGGATTGTGGTTTAGAAAATGCTCTGCACCACATTGCTAATGGGGCATTTAATCAATTTATTTGTGTTTAAAAAGATGGAGCACAAACAGTGTAAGACGTTTTTTTTTTTTTTAGAGTTAATAATATTTTATGAAGACATGATTTTCACAAAAATAGAACTTTAGAAATCATCACCGTTTTTACAACTGCTGTGTCTAACTAACCTTAGCAGTAGCCAGATTGATATGTGCAGAACTCTGTTTAGTTTTACGTTATTAATCTGGGAGGGCTGCCCTTCAGTCTGTCTTTGAAAAGGAGGGACGTTTAGTACAATACATGCCAGCTAATACCTGCCTTCCATAATATGCATTTAGCCAATGGACTTCACCGCTTTATAGCAGAAATACCCAGCTTAAAAGCTTCGACAACTCAATCGTCCATGAGAGCCACCAACAACGACACGATGATCACAATAGGATTCGTCTGCAGCTTCTTGAGTGTTTTTACAACTAGTGGAGTAAACTAATAAATCAAACTTTTTCCAAACCCTGTTGGCAGAAAAGCACAGATATCTTTCCCATCAACAAATGCACAAAGAGCTTCTCTTTTCTCCTTTTTTAAATGAGAAATTGTCGCCTTTTTAGCTGAAACGGAGTCAATTGCGGTATCAACAGGTGAGTCCTCCAGCATATGCTTGTAATGCCCCAGCAAGGCCGTTCTGACTCGCCATTCCTACATGTCCCGCCCAAAAAAACACTGCTTGCATGTCATTGGTCGGACTTGCTGGTTGCTACGAGATGGATATATTAGTGGGAGTCTTTCAAGATGGATTTGTTTGTGAGAATGAAAAAACTCAGATCTTGCAACAATGCAACTGGCAAAACTACAAATGTACGATAAACAGACACTATATGTATATTTAACAATCTTCACTGTAATCGGAGAATTTTCCAATATCAATATTGAATTGGTGCATTCATATTATTTGCTCTTTTTGGGAAAGTGTTTTAGAGAAATATCCTTTTCCAATTTGGTTGAGAAGCTTTATGTCTAAAGAGAGTCAATGCAGCAGAAGACATGTCTCCTTTAGAACAGAAGTGCGCAAGTCCTCAGGGGCCAGTGTCTTGTTTGTTTTAGATCTGCCTTTGCTCAAATGCTGCTGATTTAATTGAAATTTGTCATCAGGTTCTGCAGGAGCCTCCTAGTAAACAAAATTGTTCGATTCATGTGTGCTGGATCAGAGAAACATCTAAAACAAGCACAACCTTTACAGACAAAAAAAAACATAAAACATGAAAGAAAAATAGATATGGAAGTTTCATTGTTTGAATTTATCCATTTATTCCTTTACATTGGACATAGCTGAGAACTTACTAATCTTCTGTCCATCAAATTATAAAAGAAAAAAAGCAAATGTTCAAAAACAACAGATGCTCGATTCCACCTTAATGGAACAGAGCCAAATCCAAACACTACTGATGATATCACGTGATAAAACACCCGGAGGTGAAGATGTTCTGCGCAGGAATGGGATAAACAGTAAAGTTCATACCAATAATAATGCTAAATAGGCTAAGTTAACCCTGCAATACAAACTAGGTGCTAAAACTGAAACATGAAAGGCTTATCTGCTTTTGCAAAACAAATGTCACAGCTGTCATTCTATAATCAGGTTACAGTTTTATGGCATGTTTAGGTTTGCAAAGAGTCTATAAATGGTTCTAAGAGGCTTTAGCACACATTAGGGAGCATGAAGGGAATCATATTTTCATTAGAAGGTTTTGCTCTTCAAGCATCCAGCTTCTAAAAAAGCTCAGCAGAAACACACCAGCATAGCGCACAATGTTTGTAAGAAGCAACATGATAAAAAATCTTTTTTTTTTTTTTGACTTTAGGCTTTAAGGCTTTAAGTAAGCTGCATCTCAGCTTGCATGTTTAGGTCTGGCTCTTCTTCGGCTATCCACCCACCTACAAGAAGCAATCTGTGTTGTTACAGTGCATAATTTGGTTGAAAAGCAGCACAAATTCTCCCCGATATTGGTTTTCATACCTGCACAATGAAAATCGATATTTCAGAGCCCATACGCCTACCTCTTAATACAGTGACAAATGATCATCACTTCACTAAACACTGATTCTCTAAAGCCTCCATCTCTCTTTCTATTCTGACCCAACATTCTCAATTATTTTTCCAAATGTATTTTTTTTTTTTTGCTTTAAACCAAATTAAGCAGAGTACGTCTTCATGCTGTGGTTAAAAGACACAAATTAGATTGTTTTATTCAGAAAAAAACAACTCACCTGATTCACAGGCAAATGTCTTGGAGGTGTCATCGCAGAAGATGATCGCGACAGCATGCTTTTTTGTCTCCCTTGGCATCCGCGTGATATTCTTGATGTTATGGAGCTCAGTGATCTAAAAAAGTAAAGGAAGAGAGAAGCAGCAACACTTCAATGAACACTGCAGCAATAACAGAACAGCTTAATTGACATCTTTGCTGAAGATGCAGCAGTACCTACTGATGATAATGTTCAGTAGAGGTCTAAACTAAAAAGAGGAGGTGATATTAAAGAACAAATGACAGGAAAGTTAAAAAAAAAAAGCTAATTTAAACAGGAAGAAATGATACAAGCCAGCTCGCTGCTCCACTGTTTTCTGCCTTTTGGGCAGTTGTAGAAGTTGAGGCTTGCCACACAGGCATTGTTGTGATTCTCCTTGAAAATACTCTTCCAGTTAATCCAGAGGAAAGCAATCATATGAATCTAAATCACTTTACCAGGTGGCTTATAGTGAATGAAAAAAGAGAAGATAACATTTTACTGAATATCACCAGCATTCACGGGCCATTTTATTCAGCAGGTTTCCTGCTATTCACCCTCTCCAGCAGATAAGGCCCATTACATTAATGTAGTCTATTGTGTGCTAACTATAGGCACCTTGCCAAACTGTTACAAATGAATTAGCTGGGCTCATTGCCCATACAGTAAAGCCTGACTGTTAAAGGTTAAAAACACTATTGCACACACACCATATTTGGACTACAGATTTCTTTGTTTGATGGGGTCTTTCTACAGTAAGAGACCTTGAGCTCAACATTTAGGTCCAGCTGGGGTTTTTATTTGTACTCAAGCTTTACCTCTGTGCGCTCTAACCTAACCATGAGGACTCAGTATGTACAGTTCAAACTAAATGTATGTTCTAAGGTTTTAAAGATGAACTGGAACTATTTTTGGGGGGTTTATGATGGTAGAACAGCTGCAATGAATTTCGGAAATGTGATATTTGGTCGATTTATGTGAATTTTTTTGTGGATTTTCACCAGTTCAAAAAAGTCTTTATTCGTTTATGAACAAATTCACAAATTTGCAATAATTTGGCACCCCACCAAATTTGGCTCCGTACAAGTTTAAGTTGCTTTGCTTTTAAAGCAAAGTTCAAGGATTAACAGCTGAGTCCTCAATCATTATTTCATCTATTTTGTAGACTACATGAATTGTTCTTGACAGCTGTCACATTGTTTTTTTTGTTTTTGTTTGTGTGACTGCTCCGGTCAGCATACTTCTTATCACTGTAACCAAGTGGCTAATACTTTTTCTCACCTAAGCAGAAAAAAATTCTTCAGACTATTAGATTTGAATATTGGCTGTAACAAATTTCCTACAAGAGCTATAAGGTCTATTTTTCTTTACAATAATAGCTTCTTTTTTGATTATACGGTTGATGATTTAAATTAAAAGTATAAAATAATCACTTACGAGTCATGAACAACTCCTGGGCAACAACCCAGTAATTCTGTTATGATCCGCGAATTTGGGATTTTTGGTTCTGTTTAGTTTTCACTTATGGTTTTCAATTAGGCTTGGATTTATGTCATTCTGTTTTTACTGTTAGGACTTATCTTTTTTGAATTACTTCTTAGTATTACTGTTCCTGTTTGGTGTTTTTTTTCCTATTCAGCAGCCCTTGGCCTTTGTTCTAGTTTTATTTTTGTCATTCCTTGTTTATCTTTAGGTTATATTTCCCAGTTACTCTCCATTGCCCCCTAGTGCCATCTTCCTTCCCATTGGTTTTATTTCCATTTGTTCTTTCTCTGAACACCTGTTCCAACTCAGATCATTACTCAAATCTTTGTCCCGTTAGTCTCCTCTTCAGTGTATATATATACCCTTCCTCTGCAGTTTTTCTTTGCTGGATCGTCGCCATTATGTCATGTCTTCATCCAAGACAAAAAGTTCCTATGTTCCTTGAATATTTAATTTTGGACTTTGGCTTCAGTAAATCTGCAACAATCATCTCAGCCTCAGCCTCTGCACTCCAGCTACAAAGTTCTCCATTCACTGACAAATTGTCCTTTATTCTCCCCATGTCTACTGAAAACAGCTTATTTATTTGATATATATCCCTTCTTTATTTGCACTATGCTCATTAGACCAATCCCCAATTGTTTTAATCAGCCCAATTTGTGTATAATTTGTGTAAATGTGTGTGTTAGGGCTGAACAATATGGCTTAAAAATCTAATGTCTGATTTTTCCTTCCGAATTCCGATAAATCAATCTTTTTTTTCCCTTATGTTTGATAATAAAAATGACATTGCAATTATCCCCATTGAGAGGTGACCTTAATTTAAAGGACAATGCATTTCAAGCTGTGAAAATGCTTTTAAAACCTTTCTTCATAACAAGCAATGAAAATATAAGTAACCAAATGTTTGCAGTTCATGGTGTTACACAGTTAGCTAATTTATTTGTTTTAAATACACCTTTAAGAGCAAAAAGTGATAACTTGATGTGAACTGGAGCTGTGGAAGCATAATAAATGCATTGGTGGAAAAAATATCTTGATTCTCCAAAAATTTTAACTGATCTATTTTATCTATTAATTCAACAGCCCTGACATATAAAAACTTAGAAAAAGCTGACATTGCTTTTCAACCATGCTTCTTCAGAATGATTAGAAAAAAAATAAACTAATGAAAACGTCCTGGACAAAAATGATGGTAAAGCTAGAAAAGATGGAAAATAATGTGACCAGAGAGGTTAAATCAAAGTGTAAGAAATAATTAATATCACAGGTGTAAAAAAAACATGTATTCAGTTACTCGATCTATATATGTGGCTACAGGTGGTCACTGTGCTGTTTGGTGACATGTTATGTACTACATTCAACATGAACCAGAGGAAATGAAGGAAAGAGTTGTTTCAGGAGATTAGAAAGAAAATCCTAGACATGCATCTTAAAGGTAAAGGCTATAAGACCATCTCCAACAGCTTGATATTCCTGTGACTAGAGTTGCAAATATACAGAAATTTAATATCAATAGGACTGTGGCAAACCTTCCTGGATGTGGCTGCAGGAGGAAAGTTAATGACAAATCAAAGAGATGGATAATCTTAATGGTAACGAAAGAGCCCAGAAAAATAAAGAGATTAAAGGTGAACTTAATGCTCAAGGAATATAAGTAGCTGTGTTTCCATTTCAAATATGTGCAAAACTATGTTTATTTTCTGTTAAACCATAAATACCAAATTGAAGTATTTTCCTTAAATAACAATTAAAATTGCATTTGAATAAGTTTTCTCATGCCATAATTCAGTAAAAACATGGCAGCAGCAGATGTAAACACATGATATATATCCGTATTTCAGCAACACAGCTCTACTGGGCACCATAATCCCCCTACTACTCCAGGTTTTTACGAAGCACTAAGGTCTGGCTGCAGATCGCGTGACACAGGAGATGCAAAAAAAAAGTGCTTCTATTGCAAATTTGTGAAAAATAACAATTTCACTTTAAGCTGGAAAAAAAAATACTTTTTATCAGAAATTAGCAGTTTTTTTTTTTTTTTTTGCAGTGTTTCAATTTAGATACCGGTAATTTATTTGCATAATAAATTTGCACAATTTGATGGCTAATGGAAAAGCACCTCAAGTAAGATCGCACCACCCGTTGCTATTTGAGCCAAAATCGACCTATTTGTAGACAACCATTGAGGACACAATTGTTAAAAAAAAGATCCTGAAAAAGCCAGACTGAAACTAAATGTTGAGTAACCATAATGCTGGGAGAACATCCAATGGATGGATTAGATAAGAATGGAACTTTTGTCCAAGATTATTAGGTATTATTACCTCTATGTTCACAGATGGAAAAATTAGGTGTATCAAAAACAGATCACTGTCTCTACTGTGAAACACGGAGGAGGCTTTGTTATGCTATTCTGAAGTGGCCTTCTATAAGCCCTGACTTTAAACCTATTGAACACCTTTGGAAAGAGTTGAAACATGAAGTAGAGGACTGCGTGGGACAGATTTTCCAGTCCCGTGCCCGCCCGCTCCCGCAGTGTTCAGTCCCGCTCCCACAAAGAATTATGATTTTCAGTCCCACTCCCGCCCCCAATTCCCGCATGACTCCGACGTTCGCCTACTGCTCAAGGCAATTTGTGTCTTTAGTTTGTTGAATTAAACATGCTGTGCTTAGCTGAGCACATTACTGGCCGATTCTCCACCGCATGTTGCATGACTCGCGTTAGGTGGCACGAGCTGCAATATCCAGCATATTGTGATGTATACATATATAATAGACATAGACTGATAATTTATGACTTTATTTTATATTTTATTTTATGTTTTAAAGCACATTTTTAGTTTGCCGGACTGCTGCCCACACCCGCACTGTGCGCTCTCAATCCCGCCTGCACCCGCAATGAGCTTTCAATATTTGTCCCGCGCCGCACTGCTTTGCGTAGGCTCCCGCGACTCAACATGAAGTTTCGAAAAAAGGGGCTTCAAACCTGAGACAACTGGGGCAAAATCCTTTTTGCCTGCGAGTTTGGTCTAGCCTCGATCAATGCCCCAGGCCCTAGAACTGGCGGGCCAATCTTAGCGCAGAGATGTTCTTTCAATTTTTGGATGCAAAGCGGGGTGGGGGGGTGTGACGACAAAGCTGCTCGAAGCCAGAGAAGGCACAATAAGGAAGATGGCAACAACTAATAAACAGTAGCACGCACTGCGGCAGCAGCTTTCAATGGAGCGCTCCATTGAAAGTTCTCTTTTCTGTTGCTGTTGTTCAATAACAGGATGTTTTAAGATCATTTGAGGTGAGAATATTATACTTTAAATCATTAATATATAGTCCATTTACCGATTTAATGTGTTTAAAAAAAAAACAATTTCCAAAGTTGGGAGGACCGCGGCAACCAGCGGACGTCCGAGGCTAACGGCAGCCGGGGCTATCCGCAGGACATCTGCAGCAGCCCTCTCTCGGCATAGTTGTGTTTGAAGGACTGCTGGCTATGAAGGTAATTTTTGACCCAGCTTTGGAATCAGTTTTGGAAGGATTAGATTTGGGGTTTTCATTGAAACGTGAGCAGGAAGAGGCTCTACGCTTATTCATTTTTGAGAAGGACGTATTCGC